TAAAAGGGTATATTWTAAAATTTTGAAAGAAAATAATGGACAAAATAGTCAAATATGCTTATTTAAGTGCTTGCTTCCAAATGCCCAATATTAAATAAGTGTTTATTTAAAAAAATAAGTACTTAAAAAAGTTGGGTGTCAAATACAAATAAGTGCTTATTCGAATAAGCACTTATTTTTAACTTAAGCACTCCCAAACATAGCCTAACTAATTTTCCCATTAATTAGTGAAAGGAAGGATTTATGAATTTGTAGAATTGAATGACTTTGCAAAATTTTCCAATTCTAGCATTTMTTTTCTTTCTTTCTTTATGTGGGGATGGAAATGCTATCCAGTGGACACCGTGGTTTCCGCTTCAAATTGCTTGAGTTTGGCATTTCTACCAATAGGGAAGGTTTAAGTTCAACCCCAACTTAGCCAAATGAAATCTATTTAAATAAAGTGAATCACCTTTTTTGTGGTTGGTAAATCTTCTTCGGATRAAATTAAAATTTTGAAAACCTTAAAGCATTATACTAGTATCTTTTTTAAATGTGAAGGGAGGTTTTGTAGATAATTAGATATAGATAATATAGGAAAGTTTAAGTATTTGTCAAAAAAAAAAACACAGGAGAGATTTGAATAATTTTTCCTTCATAAAAAGAAAGGGTTTATAGGATTAAATAATTGAATGACTTTCTCAAAAGTTTATAGTTTGTAGCATTTTTTGGGAGAGAGTGAGGGGTGGGGTGGGAATGCTATATATGTAGTCTGACCAAGCAGGTGTTAGAGTTTCTTTTATTTATAAACATTGTAGCCACTAACAACCAAACCATCCATTTGCCCAGAATTCTTCACAAGTTTTTAGCCTCTAGTAGTTTGGGCTAAAACTATAGAGGGTATGTTTGGTTTTTTAACATTTTTTTAKCAYCTTTTGCAATATAATTGAACTAATGTTTTTACTGTTTTTCATTGTTCTGGACACTAGGGTATGTTTGGTTTGATGGACAATAAGAGAGAGAGAGAGAGGCTATGTTTGGCTATCTTTTATTTTCTATCAAGCATAAGCATAAGGATACACCATCCTATGAATTTAAGGCACAAGTAAGATATTCCTTGTGTTATGGTGTACATGAATTTTGCTTTTAGGAGATTCCATCTCAATTAAAAGAAAAACTTGTGTACACACCTTGAGAACATGGTATCCAATTGCACATGTATATATCTTCCTACGAATTTAATACATGGGAGACATTCCTCGTATTTTGGCTATGGTACATGATTTTTGCTTTTAGGAGATCCCTTCTAAACATAAATGGGGGTTGAACTTTCAAGAATTAGGTGCCCATTTGGGAGTTATTTAATGCAATGGCCTCACGCGAAAAGCCTAAAAGCTATATTTGATAAAAAAATGAAAAGCTGAAAAGCCCAGATACAGTTTCATTCAGCTAAGGCCCCATTTGGTTTGCGGGAATAGGGGTATCAGAACGGTCCATTCCGATTCTAACTGTTTGGTTGGGCGGAATTGAAATCCCATTCCCATTCTTGCTGGAATGGATTCCCCTATTTGAGGGAATTGCCATTCCCTACCCCTCCCTTGGGAATGAATCTCATTCCTGTTAATTCCAATTTCCATTTTCATTCCTGTTTGAATCAAACAGACTGAGAATAGACCATTCCGATTCTAAAAAATTTCGATTTTAATTCCAATTTTAATTGTAAACCAAACAGACCCTAAGAAATTAAGTTTCCTAGGTGAAACTGATTTTAATAGTTTTTTCAAAGCAGTTCTTTAAACACAACTCAATAAAAAATGAAACCTAAAAAATGGTCCCTAAATTAAGGGTTCATAAGATTAATAATGGATATGACAYTAAACAAAACTGAAGGGCGTGGACCCCATATAGTTGCAAAAACAGACTATCAAGATGATGGTAATCTAATTCCATGTTTGCCCCTTCTCTAAATCTGATATCTTGAGGTACACAGTCTGAATCCAACATGGTGACAGCCATGGGTGGTCAGACTAGAGTGTTAAGAGTACACGCAAGACTAAATAAAGCAGGTCTGAAAATGACCTAGAAAAAGTACTGCCTATTGTAATCTCCATCACAGAGGTTACTAGAGAACAAATTATTAAATCTTGGTTAAGGAATTGTTTGATAGATGCCATGTTGACTGGATTGACTTGCTTATTGGTTTGTCTTTGTGGATGAAATTTTCTTATAATATTTAGGGGCTAAGGATCAAAGTGTCTATACATACTGTATTCTGCCATATATATTGGTTTTTAATGATACATGAAATAGGAAATATATACATTTTAAATACAAGGTTTATAAATATAATATAGGTTTTGCACTCTATATATATTTTTGGTATATTATCTAAAATTTATCATGACTTTTTTATATTTTTTTTAAACTCACCATAACTTTTCAAAACCTCCATAGAGCCCCCTATCATTGAATTTTATTGCCTCAAATTCACAGTCGGTTAAGATTATGTTAGATCACTGTTAGTGACCATTAATAGAAGTTTTCTGGTGTAAGCATTTAAGTATTTTATATAACCAAATTACCCCTAAATTGGTCAGTCAAGCTTATTAAATATTTTTATGATAAAATTACCCCAACATGACCAATCAACCTTATTAAATACTTCAGGCCTAGGTCAGGCTTGAAGTATTAGGCCCAAGACTGTCTCTAAAATTTGTGGGCCTAGTGTGAGCTCAGGCCTAGGTCAAGGGTAATTTTGTTCACAAGTTGGGATAGGACCATGGTTTGAAATCCGGACCAGACTGGATGGTCGGACCAGTTGACCCAGGAAACAGTCAAGGAACTGTTTCCTTTTCACCCTAAAACCATTCCTGGGCCAAAAATTATTGATTTGGTCAGTGATTTGCTGACCCAGGYGGTTGAACCATCTATCAAGACAATGGCTTTGGCCATTTTTATATTTTAATTATTTTTTAATTTTTATTTTTTAAATCATAACGGGTCATCCATTTGAATTGGATGGTCAGGCCATTTGACCCAAGAACCAATCCCCAAAACGGTTTTGTGTCCAATCCACTTTTTAAAACCTTGGATAGGATTATTGTGAAATCAAACAGGTGTAGTTTTATTAAATAAAAATTCTTTTTTTTTTATCTTTGGGGTTTTATTGATTCCTCCACCTCATCAGAAAATTTTATATATTTATATAATTGGGAACATTGAAAATTAGAGAAATCTAGCACAATTCAATGAGGAATTATAGTTTAGGTGGGTGTTTTAGATAATACATTCAGAAACCAATAAAATTTTCCAAGGGGAACAAATCATAATTTTTCCTTTATAATGTAAATATTAAATCGTATATTAGCATTTAAAACAATTAAAATAACATAGTTCATAGTATTTAGAGAAGAAAATAAAACAAACCCCACACCCCACCAAACCCTATAACCAGCTCAACTAACTAAAATAAATTAAGAACACCCTCTCAAAGAGCCATTCAACCTAAAAGCTTAAGCTATTAAGCGAGGTCCATAAATGGGTTTTATTCTCTAACATGCCCCCTCACACAAAAGCCCATTGGGCTTGAAACGTGAACAGCACAGGCCCACCCATACCTTGTGCTAAAACTTAATTATTAATTATAATGGGTGTGATGAGAATCAAATACTAGACCACTTGAGAATCTGATACTACCTCAGAGAACCATTCAACCTAAAAGCCTAAGCTATTAAGAGAGGTCCTTGAATAGGTTTTATTCTCTAACACACCCTCACCAAATCAAAGCTTGCAAAACTCTCTACTTAAGATGACACTGCAAAGCTTGCCAACTCTCTTAGTTGACTCCACTTCTAAGAATGGCAAGCTATCCTATGATATATCTACTTTTTTTAAAAAGCCCTCAGGGTAATTTCATTCAATTAAACAGTTCAAGAGATACACATTTGCACTATTTTAAAATGTAAAAGTTGATAGTGTTTAAAAACCTAAAAGAAGATTTTTTTTTTCATTTTGCATACTTTTTAATTTTTAAATAAAATTAATAAGAAATATTTTCTATTTAGGTCAATAATAATATCACCTATCAATATGTCCTTTTTTTGGCAGGAAAAGATCATTCATCCAGGTACTGCAGTCCTGTCCATATATACCATATTTACATGCATTATATGCTTAGAGTATGGACCACTCTATATCTGGAGATTTACCCTACAGGCCATCATAGCTTCTAAATTGTAACACCACTCCCTCCCTGAGTCAACTCTGAAGGTCCGTTTGGTTCATAGTCAAAATTGGAATCAGATGTATTGAAACTGGAATCAGCTGGAATGGATCTTCATTCCCAAGGGAAGGGTGGGAATGGTTATTCTCTCAAATGGGGAATGCCATTCCACCAGAAATGAAAATGGGATTCTGATTTCACCTAACCAAATGGTTGGACCATTCTGATTAGGATTCCAGACCGATTACCACGAACCAAACAGACTCTGAATCCTGAATTGACTCGAATTCGATTCATTGGTCTCTTCTGATTCTGCACACGATGGTGCTCTGTTTTTGACAGGACACTTAGACTCACACTTGCCTTCCTTCTAAATTATGTATATGTTGAATTCCTAACGGGAAGCCTTTTTTAGACGTTTTAACATTTAAAAGAAAAAGTTTATCTTTCAGCGGGAAAAAAAGGTTTAAACAATTAATCATCGTGATCTTCTATGAACAGTGGATTTACCAGAAATATGGTTAACATCGAGATTGAGAAAATGAAATAGAATTCAAATATTTTAAGAGCAACTTCTTCCCTTCAGCTACATCACAATCCTTTTTTTTTTCTTTTTTGCTGTTCATAGAAGAGTACAATTCTAAAGAACATACAAATGATGGAACTACAGACACTGAACACTTGAAGAAATGCCTGAAAAGCAACCATATCCATCTAGAAACCCCTTTTCATTCCCTGATACTACTACTAACTTATTCTTTAGGATCACTGTAGGAATAGAAATATGGAGAATAATGTAGAAAACAARCTCAATTATCAGTTTTACTTCTCAGTGGCCAGGGCCAATTACAAGAATATAGTTTACACATGGAAGAATGACAATTAGATCAAAGAAAAGACATACAGGTCAGTCAAGATAACATTTCACAACAATGGCTTTCCAAAAGGAAGAAAAGATCCTAACTATTATGTGTCAAAGTCACTATAAATTTGGCTCCACATATTGCAATTTACTCAACAAAAAACTGGCACACCTCTACCAAATCAACAAGCACTAGGAAGCTAAACAATTGCATCATGCTACATAAGTACATCTCCAGCACACAAAATTTTCAGTCTTGAAATGGTTAGTCTATATCAGGTTTTCTGGTTCCAAATTTGATTCTAATAGTTCACCCACTAGCAGCCTCCGCAAGACAAAAGGAGGCGGTGGGGGATCAACAAGTAATGTACCTTCTAACACCTTCACCACTTCCCCCATTGAAGGCCTTAATCGTTCATCAACTTGTATGCACCAAAATGCAATCCTCAATGCACGCTCAACCTCCTCTGAATCTACTACATTTTTTATTCTAGCATCCACAACAGTCTCTGCCCGCCCTTCGACCCATTCCTTGTATGCCCATTCAGCAACACCCTTAACTCCTTGGCGACCACTCACCAATATAACCATCATATCTCCAAAGTTTGCTACATCTTCTGCAGCCCCTCCACTAGATGCCCCACCACCACAAACTCTCCTCAGTCCAAAATCAGTTACCTTAGCCTCCAATTCAGCATCCAAAAGCACATTCTCCCACTTCAAATTCCCATGACTTACAAACTCCCTACACCCAGTGTGCAAATAGGACATGGCCCTTGCCACACCAATACAAATTTCCATTCTCTTCTTCCAAGTCAGCCTCTTAGAGCTGAGACTAGCTTCCTCTATCCACTTATCCACTGAGCCATTCTTTGCAAACTCATAGACCAAAAACTTTTGGCCTGACTCACAACAATAACCCTCCAGCTTCACCAGGTTTTTATGGTGAATGCTACTTATAATTGACACAGTGCGCCTGAACTGCTTCTCTGATACAGCTGCCTTCAAGTCCTTGATTGCAACAGCTTGGTTGCTTGGAAGCACACCCTTGAACATCTTTGGCCCAAGGCGATGCTTAAAGTTCCCAGTTAGATCCTTAATTTCTCTATAGGATAAAATGATCAAGCCTCTGAAATTAGGATCCATGTGAGATAAAGTTGTGGTGTTCTTGATGGACTTCCTTCTCAGGATACAGAGGCCAATTCCAATCTGAATTATAACCAATGCTGCAAGTGTGCCCATGGTTGCCCCAATAAGACATGGAATGCAAAACTGGTGTGACCATTTGAGCAGTGATAATGGTGATGGAGATGCAGAGGATGTAGGGCGGTGTTTGGGCAAGAAAGCAACTGGATCTAAACACATTTTGACAAAGGATATTGACTTTATTGAGGGATGTGCATAACCAGTAATATGTGGAGTTAGCTTTGTAAGGCATTGTGCAGTACCATCATTTACTACAGTCACGGATGTGCATTGGGGGTCCTCCAAGCATGAGCTTTTACATTGTTCTAAACTAGTTCTGGTGACTGTGTCATTGTGTGGATAGATCCCATATAGGAATGTATGCTCAAGTGTGAGCATGGTAACACCAGGTTCACATTTCTGTTTATATAGTGTCAAACATTTCAAATTGGAATCAACCCCTGATCCAAATGGGTATTTGCAGTCGGTGGATCCTTCATCTGTGAAGACACAGATGCCACAGAGCCCACAGGTGGCAAAGACATTGCACTGATTCTTGATAGCTTGCCATACTAACTGCCATGACCCCAATGCTTCAACCCACGAATACATTCGAAGATTTCCATCTACATCTAGCCTGAGAAATCGGAAACTCACCAAGGAATCATCGTGATCATCTCCAAATACTGACCACACTGGTTTGGATTTTCTATCATGAAGTTGCAGGGCTCCAACGGATGTGAGGGTAGCTCGAACAGCTGAAAGAGTACTTCCTCCTGTCCAGTAATTGACATCGCTTTGCCATTTCAGTTTCAACTTACCTGATGCATCAAAAGAAAGACTGTAGTAGCTTGATACTGAGTTTCTGCTGGCAGCTCGGAGTGTTTGACCAACATTAAGATTCTGGCCTGGGATAAGTGTGTCTGATGGAGTGCTGAAGCTTTGCCAAACAACATCTTGATCTCCATTCTGGAGGATAAGATTGCCATTGTCAAGAAGAAATGCCAAAGTAACAGACAAGTGGCTAGTGTTACTGGTCCAAGCAATGGTTCCCTTTAAAGAATCAAATAGAACAAGATCTCCAGCTTGGGTAAGCTGGAGATATGAATGATACCCTACAAAAACATCAGCCCCTGCAACCCAAACTACAGTTTGTTTGTCAATTGGTATAGAGTTTGAATTGAAACGGATACCAACGCTGTAGAGGTTAGGCTGGTCAGAGCTATTGAAGAACCCAAATGCAAAATCTCCATTTGGGGACACCCAGTAGTCATTTCCTACAACAGAGAGCTTAGACCCTAAAGGAATTTGAGGAATTTGTGAGACTACAACAGAGGAGAACAAGAAGACAAGGAAACCAAAGAGAACAGTCATCTTAATATGAAACACAACCCACCCAAAGATGCTTGGAGACACAGAGAATGTAAACATATAACCTCTGCAGACAAATTAGGCAAGTCAAGGATCTTAGAGCTTATATTAATTCTAATGTAAAGACAATAAGATGATTTGGAGGTCAACGGCTTTTCAAGTAGACTAAAACATAAAGAATTCAAATAGCACACACGCACAGACAATTCAGACCATGACCAAGAAGAGAGCCGAGGTTATACGGTTATACCCTGTAAAGACGGTCAAAAGCCAATAACAAGTGGAAGAAGTGGCCGGTGGAGACCACGGCGGCCTTGAGTAGAAAGATTCCAAATCGTTTCTGGTCCCATCAGAAAACCTATACCTATTCTGACAAATCCACTACCAAGAATTGACGAATAACAGAAAATTAATGAAACCTTTGCACCTAAACAATTAAAAGTCATAATCAAATGAAGGAAAAATGRAAAACTTGTGATCACAAAATAAAGCAGATATGGAATTGAGACTTCTATCAAACCTATAACTATTCTGGCCAAGACTGATCGCTTTCAAATCTTCAAAGGCGAGACTATAGATAGAAATCTTTCAGACTTATTAGCTACAAAAATAGAGCTAAATCAGGTAAACAACAGAATAAGACAAAAGAATAAAAGAAAATAGTAGAAAAATTCAAACTTCATACAGAACTAACAACCAAATAGCTCTTCTTAACATAGATGCATTCCAAACTGAAACCGGAAAAGAAAAAACTAAAACAAATTAATCCTTGAAAGAAGAGCTGCTAAATTTAACATGCAGGTCAAGTATTCAACAATGTAATAACAAGAGGTATATTATACGGATTCAAAAGCAAAATCAACCTAACAGCACAATTCACAGAACACGAAATCTCGATAGTTTCGCCTTGCAGAGTTGAAAACAAAACCCCAAAACAGATTACTTCAAACTAGAAACAAAAATTGACAGGACGTTTTCTTGAAAAACGACAAATAAAACGTATGTAAAGTTTTACGGGACTCAGGTGTGAAGAAGAGAAAAGAAAAGTAGGGAGAAAAAGTCAAACGAAAATGTACTTCACAGTTTACACTTACAGGGACAGAGAATTTGAGGGCAACGGAGGAGGGAAACTGAAAAGCAAAGCTTCGTTTTGATGGCAATGGTGTCGGAAGTATGGAGGTAACATGGCAGGAAAAGTTGCAGACAAGTCCGGGAAGTGTAAAGATTTCTAATATCCACATCCATTTCCCACGACCAACGATAGGAATGAAAATGGAGCGGGTTCGGGGTGAGGTACCACTCAAATAATATTTTGATATTTAGTGGATTTAGAGGTGTAATGGTATACGGGCCTGGGGTTTCAACTCCATCAGCCGTAGGCCCATATATATATAAAATTTATTTTTAATTTTATTATACTATTTTATTTTATTATTATATATATAAACAATTGTATACATTAAAATTCATATAAAATAAAATTTTAAGATATTTTTTTTATTTATTTTGTTAATTTACTTTTAATTTTTTACTTTTTTTAAAAAATATACCTCTCATGGTTTGGTTCGACTTGGCCCAAGGTTCGGTCCATGGATTAACCCAACCCCAAGTGGGCTTGGGCCATGAACCGTGGGCCGACCCCTCAAAGTGTCCCAAGGGAGGGAAGCATGACCCCGCTTGGCCTGCGGACCAGCATAACACAGCCTGCCAAAAGCATGGGAGTTGTACCGTGCCGGCCCAACACAGTCAAATTTACACCTCTAAGTGGATTATGGTGAAGATATTTTAAAAATAAAATTTTGGAATCTTAGGATTTTAGGAATTTAGGGAAATTTAAGAGATATTTTAAAAATTAATAATAAACTAGGGATATTTGGGTTCAGGGATTATCTGCAAACCCCTCCCTCACCTGCTCTCAGTTCGAGGCAAAAACATTCATCATCCCCGCCCCATCTCTCTTTAAGATAAGGAACAACCTGCCTCAATGGGGTGGAGCTCCGGTTTTATAAGAAATTTTCCATCCCTAAGGCTGTGTTTGGAAATGATGTAAATAAGTGTGAATGCAAATATTTAGAGTGTAAAATGGTCCAAATAAATTGTAAAGTTGGGTTAGTTTTGCATTAACAAATTTATTTTCTTACCAAACAGATTTTTAGCTGTAATGGATGCAAATACAAATTTCAATAAAGCATATGTCTTTTTTTTTATCAAAAGCCCACTTGAATGCAAATTTATTGTTTATTTATTGATGTACTTTCACATCTTATTATCAATATAAATATGCATTAATCTGTCATTTGTCATTACATAAATATAATGTTGCCAACCACAGGCAAAAGTGAATCACAGTGCAAATTACCCTGAAATGGGATTTACACTCTATTTACCTTGTTTCCAAACGCAGCCTAAATGAGAAATGAGAAATGAGAAATCGAAGTCGAAAGAAGGATTTTCATAGTGACACAAGTACCCTCAGCTTTCAAAAATAATATCTGTTAGCATTCCACATGCCATGTAATGCTCTATGTGCCTTGAAACATTTCAAAATCTCAAAATTACCCTTCATATATTTTATGAGACAGTTGTA